CGCCCTCCTCTCACCTACAACAAAATTCTTAACTCTGTCTTCGCACCAGTAATGAAAGCATCGACAATTTTGGTCGTAATTCATATTTAGAGAGTACAATTAATAAAAGCAAATAACATTATTATTATTATTATTATTATTATTATTATTATTACAACGCTTAGAGAAGAGCGCAACTTAAGCAAAAGTAAAGACACAATGTTTAGTTATGTTTAACAATATTTCGACAGTATGTCTGTCTTCTTCAAATTATGTTTAAAAAACTGCATATACATATAAAACTATGAAAATTTACAAGTCCTTGTACAAATGTCACACGTCTTGAGAAAAACGGTTGTAATGGTAATCAACGCTATAAAACGAAAGAACCTCAGCCAGCCTGAATTAAATGCAAGTAAAACGTGGTTAACTTGATGGTGATTGTGCTCATTTGATTAGTCACTCAGAGGAATTAATCAAATAGCTTATTATAAATCTTATAGAATTCTGTTCCCTCCCCTCTGGGACTGGACGCTAGTAGTTTGCATATGTAATTATCTTCATGAGTTTTAAGGGTTTAAAAGCCAATGGATTCTGGATGTATTTCTTCTGAATGTTTTTAATCAACTATTATTATTATTAATCATATCTGTATTCAGATCATTATTATTAGTGCTTTTATTTCCTTTGATATCTGGCGTTTACACATTTCTTTCCGGGTCCCGCCCAGGGACCTAAGGTTAGAAATGGTATCATGACACTTTCCAATGAAAAAAAAAAATTACATAGATATGCTCTTCGTAAAGTGTGGGCTATACTTGTGAGAACAAATTTTTGTATCTCTTTGAGGCATGGACTTCCAGGAATGATAATAATAATTATTATTATTAGTAGTAGTAATATTTGTGTATGTTATGTTTCCAGCTTTGTATCCTGTAGAGTCGGGCCCAACCTATGGTCCTTAGGGCCTATAGGAGAATTGTGATTTAATTGATAGACTTTTTCTTAGTATATAGGATATTCCTAGTAAGGTGATCTTCTGGATAACTTGTATGCTGATGATACCTGGGACACTCTTAGTAAAATTGTTCATTCCTTTTCTTACGACGCCCAGAGCTTCGATTACTATTAGTTCAGTCTCAATCGTAATTTCCCACATCCCGTTAATCTCGATCTCCAGGTCCTTGTATTTGGACAAATTCTCGATAATTTTCATGGAGGTGTTTCTCTCAGATGGTACTGCTAAGTCAATAAGCATACGTTTCCAGGATTTCTTTTCTTTTCTGATAATATCCGGTCTGTTGACTTTTATTTCCTTGTCAGTTTGAATTGGCATGTCCCGGAGGATAGTTACATCGTTATTTTGGGTAGCTGTGTCTGGTTGGTGCTCATATCAACTCTCAATGGGTTTGATTTTATACTTCTTGCATATCATCCTGTGCACATATGTCGCTACCTTACTATGTATTATTATTATTATTTATACTTGCCTTCAGATTATTATCATTATTGTTGTTATTATTATTCATACTTGTCTTCATATTATTCGTATTATTATTAACCAAAATTGCCTCATTATTATTATAATTATTGCATCACTTAGAAAAGATACAATGGTTAACAATGTTTAACGATATTACGTCCTTAGATTTGTCTTCTTCCAGGTATGTTTAAAAACTGCAATCAAGTATCATAAAATGTAAAATAAATACAAATCCTTGCACAAATGTCGCTTGTCTTGAGACAAACGGTTGTAATGGTAATCAACGCTACAAAACGAATGAAACCCAGCCAGTGTGAATGAAATGCAACTGAAACGTGATTAACTTAATGGGGATTGTCCTCGTCTTGAAAGTGTCCGTTAGTTGATTAGTTAGTAAGTAATTAAACCAATAGTTTAGTGTAAATCTTATGGAACTCTACTGTTATTTTTTTCATTCTCCTCCCAGTGGGACGTTAGTAATTTTCATATGTAAGTATCTGTAATTCTATATGAAGAAAATTACATATACAAACTACTAACGTCTGACTGATGTTCATTATTATTATTATTATTATTATTATTATTATTATTATTTCATTAGAGGTGTGTGGTTGATGTAATGAATAGCAGCGTGTAATGAAAAATGGAAGACCAAGATCGAATTCTAGTCGAGTTTTTTACATTCACTTACGAGCAAATTGGAAAAGGAAGAAACCCATCTGGAGTAAATATTCTGCATCACTTATTCGACATGGATGACATCAAACTCTTTGGCAAAGACGACAATAAGTTGAAGTGTATCCTCAATACTGTAAAATGTTATCGGTATGGATTTCAGATTAGATAAATGTACAAAAGTATAATTCAATGGTAAATACAGAAACACAACCAACAGATCTACATTTCTACATTTATCACAAAGATTAGGGAACTCGAACAAGAAGATGTCTATAGATACCTAGAGGTCAGCAAATGAAATGCAACACAGCATACCAAAATGAAGGAGAAAATAAGAAAAGAATACTACAGGTGTGTGCGTTGGGTATTAAATACCGAGTTGAATTGTCCAAAATAGAATATCAGCCATAAATACTTTGGTTGTCCCTGTGGTGCAATACAGTTTCAGCGCAGACCATCTAGAGGAAGGAAAGCCCTGATGTTAAAACTCCACTGCCTTGCAATCGTATCTAAACATGGGAAAGGCTATAAATGTAAATCCAGACAGCTGACACCAAGCGAATAGATGCTAAAAGTACAAAGATTCTCATTTGCCACTACATTCATAGGTTGATGTTGACCGTCTGTATGTGTTCAGATCCGAAGGAGGCAGACGACTAGTTCAACTAGAACCGTCTTACAAAAAAAACAAACAAAAAAAAAAAAAAACACAACAATCGGTTTTCAAAGATAACTGGAAAGTACAGAAGGCTGTATGATGATCTTTGCTAAAAAACATGTAAGAAATAAGAAACTTTATTCAGTAATAAAGTAAATAATTTCAAGCGGGTGAATAAGTGCAGATAAACCATAATGCTCCTACTGCAGTGGCAGAAAACATTAAAAAGAAAGCAAAAGTAAATGCAATGTACCAAATGCAGAAACGATGGCAAGAGGTAAAAAAGTTTTTTCTTGCTGTACAGGATCAATGCTTGTTAACTAGACATTACCAAGCACACATACCGAAAAATTCTGTTAACCAGAAATTAAAATTTTGTGATAAATATCCAGAAAGAATTGACCATCTTGTATCAGGTTGCATTGTATAAGCATCCACCGAATATAAAACCTGGCATGACTGAGTGGGCCAATATCTTCAATGGGAAATCTGCAATTTTACGAGAAGGAAACTGCAAAAAATTGGTATTAACATCACCCAGATCAGGTAACCGACATAAGATCTTTATGGGACTTTACGTTACACACAAACGGAACAATCAAAGCTAATCGCCCTGACATCGTGATTAGAGACCGAAATTACAGAATGTGCCTTCTTATTGACATGGCAGTCCATGCAGACTGTAAGGTATCTTTAAAGATCTTGAAGTAGAAATTTTTAAAAATGGCAATTGAGGACATCAATAATTGCAGTTGTGGTTGAAGCCCTCGGATTAATTGGAAAATATTCCAATAGACTCGTTGACGGAATTCCTGGTAGCCCATGCCTTAAAGAAATACAGAAAATTGTACTCACAAGTACAACCCACACCTTACGAAGGGCTTTACCTATGTAAAATATGTGCGATTTTTTTTTCAAAACTGCTCAGTGGAAAATGTTATGATGCAATTTCTGACCTTAGGTCTCTGGTTGGAACCCGGAAAGAAATGAATATACACCAGAAACCAAAGGAAATAAAACAATAATAATTATAATAATAGTAATAATAATAATAATAATAACAGAACAATACTTAGTTGTTTTGAATGAAATATGTATAAACTCGGTGTATACATATTTCGGACACCTATATAGAGAGGATAAAGTAAGAAAGGGAAATAATAGAAGAAAAGAAAGAAAAATCAGAAAAAAAAGAAAAGAAAGAAAGACAACGTAAAGGAAGAAAACAAGGGAAAATTATTGAAGAAATTAAGAGACAAATTAAAAAAGAAAGGAAAAAAAAGAAAATAATTGCTTGAAAACGAAAATTAACACAATTTTGTTTAGGTCATAAAATTATTTTAGTATCGTAGTTTTAGTTATATGAAATTTGAAGGAAGATATTTATACAATCGAACTTAACCCTCTCGCATTTGCAGGCAGACAACATATTGCTATCGAATAAACGAGCGAAAGAAATAGAATAATGAGCTAAATAAAAAAAAAGAAAGATAAAGATTTGTAGTTTTTATTTAACGGGATATCAACCCTATGCTTTACTCATTTAAAGCCGAATCGTAAATATTTTATTTTTGCACATAATAATGATATTGTGATACTAGTCTTAATATTTAACCCATAATTCGGGGGAAAAGTTAGAGATACATTTCCCAAGGGTATTTGCGCCTAAGAAATCCTAACGAATCCAACTGGAATTGGAACTCAACTCTCCGATTAACAATTCTGATCCGTTACACCAACTGCAAATCCAAGATTAGGGGAGCTGATATTCCCAAGAGGTCAGTCATTGTTATAGGGGAACACACCTATTCTATAGTTAATAAACTCCCCCACCTATAATAAGTAGGAGTAGTAGCAGTCGGCAGGGAGTTGGTCAGTCAGTCGATGTCGGACGACCGTTAGTCGGATATTAAAGTATCAGCCACCACAACTAGATTACTGCGTCATTACCTATTATATCAAGTTCCTAACGTTTTGTACGTCGAACCTATTTTAGGACCGACTTAGTGCAAATACAAGCTTCCACTGTGAAACCACTACATAACAGTCATCGAGGTATTGACCAGGCCCGATATATGTCTAACTTCTGTGATCGTACGGGAACCGATGTTTCAACGTGATGCGGTCGTAAGTCAAAAAGATAAAGCATTAAATCAAAAGAGAATTGAAAAGAACAGAATGGATTCAAAGAAGGAAAATAAATTAATAAGAGAGAAAATAACAGATGCAAGGAAAGAAAGAGTGATAGAATGTCTTGGAAGACTGAAGAAAAAAAGAAAAGGAAAGAGAAGGCAAAAGAAAAAGAGAAATGAAGTAATATTGACAAAATGAAGAAAGAAAACAAAAACATAGAAAAAAAGAAAGGACAAGAAGGATATATAATTTTTTTAAAAAAACTAAAAAGAATAAAGAAGAAAAATGATCAAAATTGAAAGCTGAACGAAGATGAATCGAAAGAAAACGAAAAGAAAAGAAGAGACGAATGAAATGTATGAAAATAGCAAATGTAACGAATAGAAGGCGTTTCGAGTGCGAACATATGTCTTCATCAGTTGGATGCTTGGAAAATGAAAACGAAGCCCAAATGGAAAAGATATTTTTCATGCAATATAATACGCCATTACCAAATGCCAAGAGACCGGCAAAGACTGCATTAGTGTCGCTGGGCAGCCATTAACGGAGTGTTCAGGTCGACTTTAGATGATTGCGAATTGGCAGAATCCTGCAGAGTCGATTTTCACAGCGTATCTTTCATAGTTACCGAGCATGCGCAATTGTAATCATAGGCACACGGAACTCGCAAGAGGCAGTTAAATTTGCCGCCATTTTCCAGTTAGATTTGCATTCTATTTCATGCTATGTGTTTCACCATTTTTTTTTCTTTTTATGTTAGGTTATTTTATTCACCTTTCGTTTTTTATTCTTTTTTATCCTTCATTTTTTGTCTGTCTTCCTTTCTTGCTTTTATTTGTTTTCTTTGATCTTTTCTCATCATTCCTTTTTCTTTTTTTCTTTTGATCTTTCATTTTTCTGCCTTCCTTTTTATTTAATTTTTTCGTTCTTACATTCATTATTTCTTTATTTATTTTTGAATTTTCATATTTCTTTTGTTCAACTTTTTTTTCACATTTTATTCATTTTATCATCTTTCTTTTTCTTTCTTTCTTTTTGAATTTTCATTATTCTTTTATAAAATTACTTTTTTTCTCATTTTATTCACTTCATCATCATCTTTCTTTCTTTCTTTTTTGTCTTTCTTTTCGAAGTTTTTCATACTTTTGTCCAACGTTTTTCTCATTTCATTATCTATTTTCTTCCCCTTTTTCTTATTTTCTTTCTTTTTGAATTTTCATAGTTCTTTTGTCCAACTTCTTTTTTTCTTATTTTATTTATTTTATCATCTTTCTTTCTTTCTTTTTGATTTTTTATATCCAACTTTCCTTTTTTCTTCTTTCTTTCTTTCCTTCTTTCTTTCTTTCTTTCTTTCTTTTACTTTTCTCCTTTTTTATACTCTTCTTCTGTCTATTTCTTTCTTTCTTTTTGATTTTTCATAATTCTTTATCCAACTTTCCTTTTTTCTTCTTTCTTTCTTTCCTTCTTTCTTTCTCTCCTTTCTTTCTTTCTCTCCTTTCTTTCTTTCTTTCTTTCTCAGATTTTCTTCTTTCATTTTCTTTTCTTTACATTTTCCCATTTACTTTTCGTTTTCATTGTTCTTTCTTTTAGCAATTCCTTTTTCTTTTCATTCTTCATTTCTTTTTTTTTTAATTGTTCTTCTTTCTTTTCATTCATAAACACCTAATGCTGTCTCTACACTTTCTCTTCTACGTATACAATATATTATGAATGAACAGAGTTTTTTTAGTTGGCATAACTGACAACAGACATAGCAGTTACATTATCTTGCACATTATTAATAGAACTAATACTTTGTTCATTTCAGCTTCTCTTCACAGGTTGTATAAGTTGTATGTCAAAATGACTGTCAGTATGACTTAGCATAAAAATTAGTAACTTCACTTAACTCTTAATTCCATTTTATATTAATATGAGTTTTTCATATTTTCACGATTCCATTTTTGCATACTCTTAATTAAAAATATATATATATATGTTCTAAAATTAAATGTTGGATGGGCGAAAGCGCTCACAAAATTAATTCTAGAGGTAAAACAGCGTTGTTCAAAATAAAGAGGGAAATCATAGAATTTACCATCTTGATGCAGGAATCTTTCGACATTTGTTCATTCGAACATTTCGCGTTACTGTTGGAATCAAACTTATAAAATCTTTCGATAAAAACAGTGTTTCAGAAAACGTGACTTTTGAAATTTTCAAAATGTCATTGTTCTTTCATGGGTAATTCTTGACTTAAGCGGCGTAAAATAAACCGCTATTCACTGAACGACGTAAAATCAACATGTGATATTTACAATGAGAAAACTTTGTCTTCTGTATTTCTAGCACAATTGTCGAGTCGCCTTCACCCATACCGCCGATCACTGAATGATATTCAATTTCCATTTAGCATACACTGCGATGGCGAATGCTCCAAGCAGCTAGCGTCATACTAGCGTTGCTCATGCGTACTTCGTGTTGGATGTCGTTCTGCGCCATGTTGCAACTCCAGCCATAGACATAACAGATCAGTTGCTTTAGTGGCAACCAGCTGTGAGAAAAGACAGAATATTTCGACGATATTTATGTGTGAATAAAACAAAACATTATTTTAAGGAAAGAATATTTATAAAATTGAAATATTTAACGATATAAAATGCAAGTAAAGGATTATACTTGTGAGAGTTGCCTTTCAAACCGTTTGTTTAAAGTAGTAGAGAAAGCTAACACCCTTATTATATCATTATTTTTCATGGGCAGTTTTATTGTTGCTACCGTTCAATTTGTTGACGTAATGTGATTTTTTTATTTGGTAAAGAGCTTGCCTTTTCATTTTGTATCGCTATAATGTTTATTTAATGGTTGCCTTCTTTAAGTGACTGAGATGCCAGGTCAGGACCAATAATACCAAAATTCTTCTATTTTATTAAGAATCTCTAAATACATAGCAGAGCATATGATATTTGAATCATATGGTCTTCGATTAAAAGCATTGTCAATCATTGATCTGAGAAATTGATTGTTATATTGATGATAGGTCTGAGCGAATTGAACGTCATGAATCACAACACTGAAAATATAAGAATGTAGATCTGACGTGGCTATTTACGAACGTGGTTTGAGTTCTTGGGTTAATGCCTTGGTTTTTTTAGCATCTTACGGTGTTGGACTCGGTGAGCGATCCATTCTGTGTTCAATTTCCTTTTCTCTTTTTATTAAATTTATTATGACTGATTCAAACATGATCGAGGTATTAAGTTTTTAGAATTTATTAATTCTACATTCTGACTTTTTATGATGGATTTCTGTTACGATATGATTTATCTGAAGTCATAATTAGAATTAGTTCAGCAAGCGTAAAGTACGAAAGAACGGATTGTTAGCATAAAACATACGGATACATCTAGGCATTTCGACTGCAAAATGATGAGACCATGCTGCCAATCAAGTACTGCGCTTAAATTCGTAAATACTCGCTATCAAAGACGATCCATTAGAAAGACGAAAAAATAAAAGCAAATACACTCTAGCTACTGAAATTTTACCTCGTACTTAACAAAAATAGAAAAAATATCTCATTTTAAGGTGTTTTTTGAAAGAAATGCAGGTGGGTCCATAGTATAATATATATATATATATATATATATATATATATATATATATATATATATATAGTTGCGTTGATGTGAGTTGATCGTCAGACGATTGCAAAACCCAGAATCACAGACTCACATCCACATCAACTATGTTAGCTCTATCACTGATATTGAGCACTTTCCAATAAGTACCGCGCATATATAAATAATATATATAGTAATTGCATATATATATATATATATATATATATATATATATATATATATATATATATATATATATATTATAAAGCATGTTCCAATAACTTGGACCGATTTTAAATGTGAATGAAGTTTAGGCGTCTAATGATTTTTACTTTTTCTTTCAGATTAAACAACTTAAGTCTTTCAATCATTCCTGGGTATGATGATATACTACATCGGGCAGCAAGTCGTCTGCTCAGTAGGTTTTGAAGAGCGTGGGACCGCCTCTTAAGTGTTGTTATTTCCAGACCCACCCTGAACCGTAGTGATAACACCTGTTAGTGTCTCAGCTATGGCCAAATAATAAACCTACAAACAAAAAACAACAGTATATTTTTATGATAAAATAACAATACATTTTTATAGTAAAATGACTAACAACACATTTTTTTTAAAAAAATGGCACTCAATACAACACTAAAAAAATGATATAAAAATACATTTTTATAGTAAAATTACAAGCAATGCATTTTTTAAAATTACCAACAAAGTATTTTTGTCGCGAAATTAGCAGCAATAGATTTAAAAAATTACCAACAATACACATTATGAGGAAAGTATAAAGTTATGTGTGATCTGTAGTTGAAAGCATAAAAGTGAGTTCAAAATATTTAGATTTCAGCATTAAATCACCCACAGACATTGATATGTCGCTAAACAAAATCACACACACACACATATATATATATATATATATATTTTTTTTTCTTTGATCTAAAAACCTCGGTCTGAAGAGATGAATATTTAAAATATTCATTAATTAAATTATAATCGAAACTTATTTTTAAGAATTGTCTTCACTTTCTTTGGATTAATATCATCTTTGGAATTATCCCTACCAATTACCAATTGGCATTATTTTATATATATATATATATATATATATATATATATATATATATGTGTGTGTGTGTGTGTGTGTGTGTGTGTGTGTGTGTGTGTGTGTGTGTGTATGTATACACACACAAAGCCCATATACTCTACTGCTTCCGAAGAGTAGCGGTTAAAATCCGTAATGCATTCGTTTTCTACACGTTCTTTCAATTTCTCCAAATCTTCATCAGCATTCATGTCACGTACACACACACACACACACACACACACACACACACACACACACACACATATATATATATATATATATATATATATATATATATATATATATATAATTCCATTTAAATGGCAATAGCCGATACGATATGTTTATTGTATTCCATGTCAGAATTCATTGAATGACAAATTGAAAAATTACAACGGCCGGAAGCCCTATGAATGTTGGGAGGGCGGATAAGTCATTTTAAGTCCGAGCCTTTGTAGAACAGTGCAGTGGAAAATGATGTAGACACATAGCGAAAGGCAGACAACAAAGAAAGAAAGAAAGAAAGAAAGAAAGAAAGAAAGAAAGAAAGAAAGAACGATTGGTGCAATGTTTAAAGAAAGAAAGAGGATAAAGAAAGAAAAAAACTTGGAGAAAGAAAGAATTAAAAAGAAAGAAAAATGATGAAGATGAGGAAACATGAGATTGAGATAGATAGATAGATAGATAGATAGATATGAACAGACTGAGATAAATAAAGAGAGAACAAAACTGACAGTTGGATAGATATAAAAAGAATGATATATTGTTACAAGTTATGACATGCTAAAATTTCACGTGTCTAATTGAATATTTTTAGATGCCTTTTTTTTATCGAAGAAATTAACATATTTACACCTATTTGCATTTTAGCATTATATTTACTTTTAAACCATATTAATATTATATTTCCATCTTAGTGGCATGTAAATGAATCATATATTTACATATATCTCTATGTGTCAATTATTTTCAGAGTGAGTGTATCTGTAAAGGAACAAAATGAATAAAAAGTCACAAGAGAAAAAACTATTCTTTGCCAACCTATTTCGTTCCCTGAAGAACAATGTAGGATTTATTTTGTTGCACGTGTTTATATATAAAAGCAAGTATGTCATTGGTTTATCAAAGTTTCTAATTTTGAGAACGTTCATTCTCTAAATAAATAAAAAAAAAGATTTGAATATTGCTCACTTACTTTTTGCCAGACTTTGAATTATGAGATTTTGTATCCTTCACATGTTTTAACTGATATTTCAACGACCTTATGAACATTCATGAAGGTTCTTAAATTTAATATTTATCTTGGATGTCAGGAGAATGTTCGTAGAGGAACGATTCCATATTGCATAAGTTGGTATGAATACCACGAATGTTGGAGAAAGTAAGATTGAGGGGGTCTAGGTGATTTTTGCCGAACTGGTTTAGTTTTATTTTGTTGGTTGCCTGTGTGTTATTTAGGTTAGAAAAAGGTCGAGAATAGTAGTAGCTGTCAGTCGTCTAGGGTAACATGTGCGGGCTGGGAATTGGCGCAAGCTGCAATGTAGTGTGGCCTCGGGGTTTCCCACCGGAAGTGTTTCAGGGGCACTTTTTCATGCGCGACATGGTATTGCAAGAACCCCGATATACGACTGCTGTTCAGAGCAGCCTCTCTAGACGCTGCGCAAAAATTCTTCTCCTAACTACCAGACGGGAAGACGCAACCAGCAAACTGAAAAGCCGGTACCTTCAGTATAAAGAGAGGTAGCCACCATTCGCATATACCACTAAAAATTTATAACAGTGCCACTATTAAGACCTCATAAGAAGAAAGGAACCGGGAACCCCTTCCTAAACAGGAAACAAGGAATAAGGCTCTACTCCTATTCAAGAGAGAGGGGAGTATGGACCGAGCAATGGGAAGACCTATCTACTCCCATTTAAAAAATGTTACTAAGTTTTAACTTAGTAAAAGTCGAGATATCTAGTAAAGATTCAAACAAGAATAAAAAATGACATATACCTCTGATAAATCGAACGTACAGGATCCGGGTTTGACTTCCAAGTTAAATTGAATTTTTGAAAATTAATTCTGTTAGCTTATTTGGAGAGTCCATCCTCGGCACACATGATATTTTTAATAATGCTATGTTCAACCTATTTCTTTGTTTCTGACATTCTTGTGTATTCTGGGACTTCTGGAGTAAAGGGAAGTAACAAGCTCTTATTAAATCGTGGCAAGGTAAACAAGAATAAATACAAAGCAGTTATATCAAAATTAGTTGAAGTAAAAAAAGGCAATATATTAAATGTTGAATTTAAACTGAAATTTAAACACTCAGTTGCCTTCGAGAGGGAGAGATAAAATGAACCACAACAATAAAATTGAAATTTGAAATTAACAATGGTAGATAACCCTGAGTGGAAAAGACAAAGAAAAAATATTCAAATGAACAATCAACAGATTTTAAAAAAATAGAATATATCTCTGAGAAATCAAGCATACAGCCCAAAAACCGAATTCCAATTTATTTCTCACTGAGAAAGGACACAGGCGTGTCCGAAAATTCCGATTTTTAACATCTTTCTCCTCATGCTTCCATTTGGTGAAAAAGGCTTTTATCGAATAAATATTACTAGAAATGCCAGTAAAATTTTCATGGTTTTCCTTTTTTAATATTCTGATGAATCTTAATTCTTCAGTTAATGATTGAATAAGCTGATGGCGAGCTCTACGACAATAAAATATCCGTAGACATTACCCTATCACATCGTTCAATATTTCAGTAGAACAACTTCAACAAAATATAACAATCATAAAAAAGAACGCTCATTGTTATTTGAAGAAGTAAGGGGATACAAATGAAAAGATTTGAAATTGACAACTTTTTTTATTTCACTGAAACGGTCGTTAAACACTTCTATCTCCTTTCTTTGATTCATTTTATTCCTGAAACCAAGTATCGTCCATGATATATGTTTCATTTCTCACTTTTTTCTTTGCTTTTAAAGACCAATTGTATCACTAAGTAATCTTTATTCCTTACTATCCCAACTCGTCCCTATTCTGCGATCCATTGACCCAATTTCGTTAGGTAGATGGAATAGTCCATTATTTGAGAGGGATTGGCAGGAGATGTTAAACATTTCTATATCCCCTACCTTCTTTCTTTCTTTCTTTCTTTCTTTCTTTCTTTCTTTCTTTCTTTCTTTCTTTCTTTCTTTCTTTCTTTCTTTCTTTCTTTCTTTCTTTTTAAAGACCAATTGTATCACTAAGTAATGTTTATTCCTTACTATCCTCGCCAGTCCCTGTTCTGCCATCCATTGACTCAAGTTCGTTAGGTACATTAATCAATGTTTCCCTCTGCCTCGCTTGCCTTCAATATGTCCTGTGAGTGTCGCATTCTCAAAGCCTTCTTTCCTTATTATATGCCTCAGAGGTTTTAACTGTCTCTTCCTAAGTATCTTTCTTTACAAATATTATCTTAACAATATTTTCCTTATTATTTATTTACAAGTTTTAACCCGTGAAAATTTCACGGTTTTTCTATTTTAATATTCTGATGAATATTAATTCTTCAGTTAATGATTAGGCTCCTGGCGAGCTCTATGACAATAAAATATCTGTAGAAATTCCTCTATCGCATCGTTAAATATTTGAATTTAACAACTTTAACAAAATATAACAATCTTAAAAAAGAACGCTCATTGTTATTTTAAGAAATAAGGGAGTACAAATGAAAAGATTTGAAATTAATAACTTTTTCTATTTCACTGAAACGAACGTTAAACACTTGTATCTTCCCGGAAGAAAAGTACTTGAAAGATGTTTCCAGATTTCGACTTTCTTAAGTCATCATCAGGGTAGATAGTTACATTTGGCAAATTTCGAACATTATCGAAGATTCAGTTAAGAACAATCAGCATTTGAAATATTTGGTAGGCTATAAATTTCACACAGACACACAAACACATACATACACATATCTGTATATATATATATATATATATATATATCAGTGGCGACAATGTTTGTCGGGATCATTAGAATCTTTAACACAATATATTATTGATATAGCTTAGATGCTAAAATGATTCCTTTATTCGAACTAAAATTTATAATTTTTTTAAAAATCTCTATACATGAACTTAAAAAATGGTACTTTGATATTAACTGAAATAATTCGATAAAAATAAACATTTATTTTTAAAAAAATTTTCCAGACATGTAAGAAAAAAGCGTGACGAGAAAGTCTTTGATATGTTTGTCTTTTTATTGCCCCCTTTCCATTTTTTGTTGTGTTATATCCCGGTTATCAAGTCACTGATGATAGAGATATGAATAATTGACTGATATTTCCTCAACACTAACCCATTCATACTTCTTACCCCTACCCTTGAGTCGATAATTTAACGTTGCCACTTTGATTTTCGCAGAATTTAAGTCGGGCTAAATATAATTTGCCCTTTTTCAATTGATACATCCGCTAAAAAACCTTAAATTGTACGGAATAAATTGGACATTTGAAAACAATAAGTTGAAATAAAAATGTGTTCTTTCAAAAATAGGGCATACAAATCATTAGAGATTTTAAAAGATTATTTATAAAATTAAAGCAAGAAATGCATTGCCTATTAAGTATGACTCCGGTTAATCTACGCAGCCCGACTAATCTCGTTCATTTTATTTCATTCTTTTTTTAATTACTTTCTTTTTTTCTTTCTTTTTTCTTTGTTCTTTCTCGGGAAAAATATCAACGAATTTTCTTTCGGTCAATATTTTGAGGCATGGAATGAAAACAATTAATTTTGGATCCAGAATGAAAACGACGCACTACGAAAGATTTCTACTGCTTTGAAATAGATATACTTGAATGTTGTCTCACTAGGACTAAGCCCGACCTCCGGAATTGCCACTGATATATATATATATATATATATATATATATATATATATATATATATATATATATAACTAGACTCGTTTCAAAAACCCTCGAATTTTTGATTTGCTAATCAAATCAATCTCGAGGGGAAAAATGGTTTTAAAAAAAGAAAGAGCTACAAACATGAACTTCTGCCGACAAAAAAATCGCACAGATGCAGGTCTGAAGCCAAACTTTCCCTGACGATCCGTTTAGGTGAAACCTAGGTAGGTTTGTCTGGCTCACTAGGTGTATCTATATATATATATATATAAATTTAAACGTTATTTTAGGTGGTTACCCGTAACTGGGTAAACGTTCCGTTTATTTTAAACAGTTTTTTTATTTCCTCTATCGGCCTACACACCCGAGAAAACCCATTAAAAAAAAAAAAAATCCTCCAGCAGAATTCGAACCTGAATCCCCCTTTTGCTGAAGTAACCGACATTTTATCGGACATTCTTTGACTATTCGGTTACCAACAGGTTCTATTTTACACGTTTAAGTTCCTCTACCGAACATATGTGTGAATCAGCTGGAATACACACACGCCCGCACACACACACACAAACACATATATATATATATTATCACTTTAAACGCTATTTTTAGAGGAAAATGTGGCACAAGGCCAAAATGGGGAAGGAGAAAAGAACGGTTTTCTTCTATCATAATATTAAACTTAGCTAGCCACAAACACTGACCCAAACATACAACAATATTCCTTACACCAAAACACCACATTCTTACTTACCTTTCTTACTACAACTACCATAATACCTCATGGTCTCTATAAAAGTCCTAACTAGACACCTTATGCACAATTCATTGGCTGTGGGGAGAGGGGAATAAATCAACAATTTAAAAACTAATCCAATCATGGCGAAGGGCTCATCCAAACAATTACCATGAAAGTACTTATAAAAAAAAACCAAAAAACGTAGACAAGCAACCTTACGGCGGTGGGAAGGTCATTGAAGACGAGCCGCCTGATCTTTGGAGATTAAGGAGATTAAGCTAAATAGCAGGGCACCAAACCATATGTGATAACAATATTTTAAGCATGGACGAATGGTAGACTTATAGGTATGTAAGGTAGATTCTGGAGATAAAATTGTCTCGCACGACACAGTGAAGCGACTTTCTTAGCATATGACCAAGTAATGGATTTAATATAGTCTTTCCATTTCATGTCAGCTGAGAACGTTAGCCCGAGAAGGACTTGATCCTTTCCAGACAGGCGAGAGAGCTTGAAGATTAATAGAAATCATTGTTCAATTTTTCAAATAATAAAAATGTACGAAGCAAATAAATAATTTACTTAACCAAAATATTAATAAAACGATTCATAGAAAGACAAATTAATAGATCAAATGAATATTTCATGCTATATCTAATTCCCACTGACGATGACAAGTCAATTGAATACGCACGATTTATCTCCCCTTTGTTTTGCATTTCCGCCACAGTGGCATATGAATAAGTTAACAGCATGGCGTATACAGGGGACCCAGGTGGGCGGATACCCCTATCCCTAGTGACACGACTCAAGATACTCGCTTGCCCTCCTCTATCCCCAGAACCTATTCGTGTCTCATCCATCTTCGAGTGTCTGTCCGAAGTAGAAACAAGAGATGGCCGATTTTTTAAGCTATTGACAAACTGTTTCAAAATATTTACACCAAACGACCAAATATCCGTCAATATGGCGGTCTCATTATTTAAAAAAAAAATTTATTGCATCTTTCTTTATTTTTCTCTTTCATTCATTCATTCATTCATTCATTCATTCATTTATTCTTTCTTTTCTTTTTTGATTCTTTCTTTCTTGCTCGCTTTGTTTCATTTTTTCTTTCCTTCATCGGGTTTCGTTGTTTCTTCATTTTAAGGATTTTCATTAATTCAATATTCTAATTTTCATCCTCAATTCTATATTTTTCCTAATTTCTTTCTTTTGTTTCATATTTACATATTTTCCCTCCATCTCCGAAAATACTTATGTATTCTTTTGGCATGCGTATATCTAAATATTTTTCATATCTACCTGCTCGTTTTTCTTCTTCTTTTTCCTTTTGTGTGTAGCGCAGTTAAAAGATATTTGCAGCAACACTGGTTCTTTCTTTTTATTTAACTCATTCCTCTCTCTCTTTATATATATATATATATATATATATATATATATATATATATATATATATATATGTATGTATGTGTGTGTGTGTGGTTGTGTTTGTGTGTGTGTGCAGAGTCTAAACCAAAGAAAAAAAATTTGCTACATTAAGTAAATAATAACCAAACTAACAAACGACGAACGGAGACATTATCACAAATAAACGCAGACATTATCACAAATAAACGTATAACAACCAACAATAAAATAATCAATAATAAATAGAACAGTTTAAAAACAACACTATCAATAGCTAAAAACCTGCAGCCGGACCCGCAATTATTTCCACCCGATAGTCCCTAAAATAATTCGAAACATAACCGTTACCATGCACCAAAATAACCGTTAGAACGTTACTATAGACGACTCACAATGCACCATTGACCTGTATATATAAATAGTCGAGTAA